CCCCAAAACCCCAAAACCCCAAAACCCCAAAACCCCAAAACCCCTTTTGAAGTACGCAAAACTGAAATTAACAAATTCAAATTATTCATTTAATTTCCATATTTTAAGGGTCTGATCCCAAGAAGAACTGATGAGAATATTATCGTTAACAAAATCAGCTGCTGATGCGAAATCATGATGGCCTGCAAGAAGATACTCTCCTTTCTGACTTTCCATATCCCAAACTCTTAAAGAGTGATCTTCGCAAGCAGTGACACATCTGCTCTCGCTAGGAGAAAAATCTAGAATAATAAAAAGATGGATTATTACCGACATATCTCACTGTATCAGAATGGCCAATAAAGGTGTCTAATTGTTTGAACTCTTTATCATCTGGGCTGAACTCCCATGATCTTGCAACTCAGTCTTGGTGGGTGGTCATGAACTGACATCCTCCCCCAATCTTTCTCATGGCTCTTCCACAATAGGAAATGTTCCCTTCGAGTTCTTCTCTTTCACCAAAGAAAATCTGTTGGCTAACTATATCACCAGTTTTTGCGTCAAATATAGTGATTTCTCCTCCTTGAGAGGTACTTAAGATGTATTTATCATCGTTAAAGAATCCTACACATCTAACTTTAGATTGGTTCCCGATCAATTTTAGAGCAGGTTTTGATGTCTTCTTGCGACTCCAGACATAAATTGTCTTATCAAAGCCTCCAGTCACCATGAGATTTCCTGATTCACTGTAAGCTCCCCAGTAAGTGCTTCCTTTGTGCGCACTTAGTTTTTCAGTGGCCTTTCCAGTTTTGGCATCCCAGATTTTGCAGACACCTGAACCAGAGGAGGATAAGATCTCCTTCCCTGATGGGGAATAATCAAGGCACCAGATTCCTTTACTAAATCATTACTTTTCATCAATTTACCTGTCTTCTGATGTAGTTTTGATGCATTTTAAGGTATTTAAGTCCCAAATTTTGATAGTTCTATCATGAGAACCGCTGATAAACTTCTTACCACCAGTGGGATCTACCTTCACTGCATCTATAGAGTTTGTATGGCCCTCAAGAGTTGCGAATGCCTCTATCTGAGGAATATCCATATGATTTTCAAACTTATACATCATCTTTTTTTGCAACAAGATTCAAATTTTATTAAGCGGAAAGGGGTTTTGGGGTTTTGGGGTTTTGGGGTTTTGGGGTTTTGGGGTTTTGGGGTTTTGGGG